GTGTGGGGATTCTCATCTCCCATTTTGTTAGCTCATCTCTATCAGACATATTTTTCAATTCGGCATATAAAAAGATAATAAAATAAAAAGATAAATAAGTAGCTCATACTTTTTACCTCTTTCTCTGTAACCTTAGAACAGCGATCAGGGTACGGTTATAAATACTCCATTAGTAGGCCAGGCAATGCAATGTCACAGTGAAGAATATAGGCTCTGAATTTACACAAATCTTGGAATCTTCTCTGTCACTTACCAACTATATTTGAAGCAAGTACATTAACCTCTCTGTGCTCAGTTTCTTAACTTGCAAAATGAGAATAATGAGGGTACCTAATTTAAAGTGTTGCTCGAGAGTTAAATGAGAATGTAAGTAAAATTCTAAAATGAATGTTTGCCACATACTAAATGTTCAATAAATGTTAGTCATTATTATCATTATTGTTAATTATCAATATTATGATAATGATAGTCAAAGGCTAATATACAAATATCAATATTACTAGGTACGAAACTGAGGTTAAAAGTCTTCAAGAAAAAGTCAATGTGTCAAGGAGGTGACTGAGAAAAAGAAATACAACAATAATGGGGACAGAAACAAAGAAAAAAGAAAAACTGTAAGAAAGGTCATAGGTTACATGGCTAAAAATATTCCAATTTAAAAATTTCAGTTACAGTTCTTAGATTTCCACTCTGAGGTCAAAACATACCACCCAACTCTTGGGATAGTTGATCCACTCAGTTCTTCAGCACACAGCCACTTCGTCTTGTTTAAGGCCATCCAAAGAATGAGCTAGAGGGATTAAAATCTAAAGTACAGCACTGCCTCTTGTGAATTACATTCAGAGGAATAAGAATCATGAAAGAGTAGGCATGGGTTGACAAGACCTTCTTGCCAAATGAAAATCCTGAGTAGAAAAAAAGAGTAACAGTACAAAAATAAATAAATAAAATTTTAAAGAAATTGAAGAGAGTGAAAACAAAAACAAACAAATAAACAAACAAGGTCAGAGGGGCAGGGCAAAAGATCACAGTGTCCCCCCTGGAATTCTGTTGTTTGAAGAACTGAAGACAAGCAAGTTGCATCAGAAAGGGGAGAGTATTTTTTCCCACAAAGTATAATAAATGCCGCAAACTTCTGGGCTCACATGATTCATTTGCCTCAGCCTTGCAAGTAGCTGTCATTCTGAGGGGCTTCAAAAAAGAGTGTGACCTATCTACTCAACACTACCAACTCTTCCTTAGTCTCAGACTCCAACAATCAAAAAGTAGGCTGATACAACTTCCGCTAACTTTGTCTGCTCCTACTGCTGCCACAATAATGTCTTCTATGTTATACTTTCTTTAATTTTCGCCTCGGATTCATTGTCTTTATTCATAAACTTACTGTCATGCACGTCCGTGTGAAGAGACCGCCAAACAGGCTTTGTGTAAGCAATGAAGCTTTTTAATCACCTGGGTGCAGGCGGGCTGAGTCGGAAAAGAGAGTCAGCCAAGGGAGATAAGGGTGGGGCTGTTTTACAGGATTTGGGTAGGTAAAGGAAAATTACAGTCAAAGGGGGGGTTGTTCTCTGGCGGGCAGGAGTGGGGGTCACAAGGTGCTCAGTGGGGGAGCTTTTTGAGCCAGGATGAGCCAGGCACAAAATGATATCATCGCTTAAGGCAAGGACTGGCCATTTTCACTTCTTTTGTGGTGGAATGTCATCAGTTAAGGCGGGGCAGGGCATTTTCACTTCTTTTGTGATTCTTCAGTTACTTCAGGCCATCTGGGCATATATGTGCAAGTCACAGGGGATACGATGGCTTGGCTTGGGCTCAGAGGCCTGACACTCACTACTACCCGATTTTAAAAATGAATATACGTGTGCATGTGTCTTTATAGCAGCATGATTCACAATAGCAAAGACTTGGAATCAACCCAAATATCCATCAGTGACAGACTGGATTAAGAAAATGTGGCACATATACACCATGGAATGCTACACAGTCATAAAAAAGGATGAGTTTGTGTCCTTTGTAGGGACATGGATGCAGCTGGAAACCATCATTCTCAGCAAACTATCGCAAGAACAGAAAACCAAACACCGCATGTTCTCACTCATAGGTGGGAACTGAACAATGAGATCACTTGGACTCGAGAAGGGGAACATCACACACCGGGGCCTATTATGGGGGGTGGGGAGGGAGGAGGGATTGCATTGGGAGTTATACCTGATGTAAATGATGAGTTGATGGGTGCTGACAAGTTGATGGGTGCAGCACACCAACATGGTACAAGTATACATATGTAAGAAACCTGCACGTTGTGCACATGTACCCTAGAACTTAAAGTATAATAATAATAAAAAAGTGAATATGTATTCACAAATCAAATAAGTTCAATTAAGACAATATTGACTACATGTCATATGCCAGTGCTGAACTACGGACATTTCAACACTTCAAATGGGCCAGCAGCCCCTACATACCCTCAAACACCTTTAGCAGACGAACTTTAAAACCCACTAGGAAGTAGAGATGATTCTTGATTTGAACTGTGTACTTTCACTTTTGAGAATAGCACTCAATTCAGGCTTGCGAACAATACCTGCCAGGAAAGTCATGAGCTAGTAGCCAACTGAAGTTCCATCTTTGGGCCGCACTGAATCATGAGGGAGGCACAGAATGTTCTATCCTATTAACCACATGGACTATTTCAAGTGCAGAAGAAACAAAGGGTATGTGGCAAACATAACCTCAAAAATGCATCCAACCAGTTACGCCAATAACAAACTGTCACAAATCTCAATTGCTATCGCTGCAAACTCAATAGACTGACTCTAGTCACACAATCCAGCAGTGAATGACCCCGTCAGCATGGCAACAACAATGCCTTAAATTTGTAAAGCTCTTCATGGTAACTCATTTTCCCACATCTCCTTTGATTCTCACTTCTTGAGATGACATATAAGCAGTGCAGATTTTCTTCAACTTCTAAATTCATTATTTCCTTATTTAATTTTCATTCCAACTTGGAGTTTTACAAAAACATATGGTCATCTCAATCCAAGGTAGCTAGCATTAGCCTATGCCTCAAGTCACGATTGACAATAATTTGCTTCATGTCAGATTTCACTTCACTAAAACAGGACTACAAAGAGCTATATTTACTATAGGACTAGAAAAATCTAAAGTCATTGCAACCTTTAAAAAATTATGGTTATGATGGCCGAGCGCGGTGGCTCACGCCTGTAATCCCAGCACTTTGGGAGGCTGAGGCAGGCAGATCACAAGGTCAGGAGATTGAGACCATCCTGGCTAACACGGTGAAACCCCGTCTCTACTAAAAATACAAAAACAAAAAATTAGCCAAGCATGGTGGTGGGTGCCTGTAGTCCCAGCTACTCGGGAGGCTGATGTAGGAGAATGGCGTGAACCCGGGAGACGGAGCTTGCAGTGAGCTCAGATGTCGCCACTGCACTCTAGCCTGGGCAACAAAGTGAGACACTGTCTCAAAAAAAAAAAAAAAAAAAAAAAAATATATATATATATATACACACACACACATATATATATAGTTATGATAATAAGTGATGCTTCAGTGGCATAAAAAGGATCTTCTCTGCATATTCCTTTCAGAGATGAAGTTTTATTTATTTGCATCTGAAAACTTAACAGGTTTATTTCAAGCTATCCCATATTTTGGCCAAATATTATTTTCTACATCACTGTGACGTTTGAAAACAATAAGTATATTATCTCAACTATTCAACATTTAATGACACTAAGAAATAAGTAAAGAAATGCTGAAATCTTGAACTAGGATCATGTTCATTACAGAAATCGTCAATCACTGGGTGAAAAGTATGGTTCTCCAGGCAGATGTTTAGAACCCTCAACAGAATAAACTTTTAGGACAGGATTTTGGACAACTTTGTGTCTTTACATCAACCATTGAGTACGAAAACATATATTGACCTGTAGCCTAACTTGGAAATATAAGAGTTCACACAAAAATACAACCCCGGTAAGTACGATAGGCTTGAAAGTTTAGGAGGTAAAAATAAATAAAATGGAATAATTATAGGGACAAATGCTTTATCTCCCACTGCCAACCAAAAACAAATTTATAAATTGTAGGAGGAAATGTCAAGATGAGAAATTCCAATAATTAAGGTAGTGTCTACCTCCCACTCTGCACATAGTTTTTTTATACAACAAGGAGCAGCGGATGTGAATGGAAAATGCATGCTGCATAGAAAGAAAGGGCATCCAGCAGAAGGGCTGCTCCCAAAAGAAAAAGAAATTGTGGAAACAATACCATGGTAAATGCTTAAAACATATTTTGCTTTCAGCCTCTTCTTTTCCCATTCCTGCTACCTCCCACTTCCACCTCTCATACCAACATCTTCATCAGCTTTTGTTTTCATTTTGTGTAACAAAAGCCAGGGAAGAATAGTGGAAATTGTTATGTAAATACAAAAAAATGTTCATTTTCAATTAGAGGTGACATTACCCTCCAAATTCCAACTGGATCTGATTCAAAAAGCAAGAGAAGGAGGAGAGAAAGGAGCTTAATTGAAATATAAAATTGAGAGAGGATATAAATTGTACTTTTTCTTTTCAACAAGGGCTGAATTTACATTTTTTAAAAGTCAAAACAGCTAACATTTTGGCAAACAAGCTGTTTCTGTTTTTGCCTAACTATCATGAAAAGCAATGCAGAGCAGAAGTTGCTTTCTATATAAAATATGGCAGACTGGAAAATGTTTACAATCCAAAGGTGTATTCTGAAACTACCATGACATAGAGTTACATAACCTGGAGTTAAGGATCCTACATTCTCCTCCCTACTCTGCTGCTATCATTGACTTGGATTCTTCTATGCTGCTAAACTAGTCTCCCAGTTTACAAATTTGTCGTCCTCTAAAGCTTCGTTGATTCTGACAGGCCATGAACAAAGACAATGTCTTTGCTGCTTCCTTTTTAAGAGGCAATATAACTTCGTGGTTCGGGTCTCTTACCTTACAGTTCAGGATGTTTATGCTTGTATTTTAGTCCAATCACTTCTTAGCTGTATAGTCTTAGACACATCTGTCCCTCAGGTGTTCATCTGTAGAATCAGAAACATTATTACATGATGTTACGTGTAAGGGTCATATAAGCAAAGTGGCCCCCAAATTCATAAGGAGCTGAGAAACCAAAGAACGAAGCAAACGAATCTAGTTTGTTAGTAAATGCTGATTTATTAGGGGAACTTACAGACAGAAGTGGTCTTGGGTGGCCGCAAGACAGGTAGATCTCTGTACTGAAAGATCCCACACCCAGGGCTTATATCTCAAGAAAGGAGTATATATATGTTCTCTGGAAGGAATGTGTAAGTAATTGCTATGGGCATCACAGCCTACGATGTATGCAACATCAAAGGTTGTTTTGGAGAAAAGCCAAAACTTGCAGTGAATAGGTATTTCTACACAAAGAGTAATATATTAACTAGACATTTCGGAGGCATTCCTGAACTTTGGGGGAGTTAGGAGTCACATGGTGGATTCTCAACTTAAACTGAATCACTCTTGTCCCCACATATAGACTTAATTATCCATAGATAATTTAAAAATTAGTGAATAGCTTCAATATGCCAAAAGCTGTTCTAAGCACTGGAAATTCTGTGATCAAAAAGAACACAAATCCTTGACCTGTAAACTTAGATTCTAATTAACAAAGATGGAAACAAGGTAATTTTCATGATAAGAGATGTGCTATGAGTAAAATAAAAGGAATGATGTGTGAAAAAGTGACTGAGTGAGGAAGGCATTGTAGATGGCATGGTCAGAGATGACCTCTAAAAGGAAGTGACACTTGATACCTGACAAATGGTTTGTGGAAGCCAGCCAAGCCTAGACCCTAGAAGACAGCATTTTAGGCAGGTGGATCATAAGGTACAAAGGTCCCAGGGGTTGTAGGAACTTGACTTTTAGAAAAATACAAAAGGCCAGAAAAAAATAAGTGATGGAACAAATAGTGGGTGAGATGGCCCAAGCCCCCAGCCTGGGCAGTGGAGACTGGGCTGGAGGCAGATTGTGCTTGAAAAGCTTAGGGATTATGTGGATGTCCTCTGTTTCCTTCTCTCCATGCTTCTCCTTCCTACTTTGTGACCAGGAGGTTGACTTCCACTCCAATGAAAGGATCTTTTCACTTGGGTTCAGCCAGTATAGGCATACTAAGCTATTCTTGCATTGCTATAAAGAAATACCTGAGACTGGGTAATTTATAAAGAAAAGAGGTTTAATTGGCTCACAGTTCTTCAGGCTATACAGTAAGTATAGCAGCATCTGCTTCTGAGGAGGCTTCAGGAAGCTTCCAGTCATGGCAGAAGGCAAACAGGGAGAGCAGACACATCACATGGTGAAAGCAGGAACGAGCAAGGAGAGGCACCACACAGTTTTTTGTTTTTTTTTTTTTTTAATTGAGATGGAGTCTCTCTCTGTCACCCAGGCTGGAGTATAGTGGTGGGGTCTCGGCTTACTGCAACCTCTGACTCCTGAGTTCAAGTGATTCTCCTGCCTCAGCCTCCTGAGTAGCTGGGATTATAGGTGCCCGCCACCACTCCCAGCTAATTTTTGTATTTTTAGTAGAGACAAGTATTCACTATGTTGGCCAGTCTGATCTTGAACTCCTGGCCTCAAGTGATCTGCCTGCTGTGGCCTCCCAAAGTGCTAGGATAACAGGCATAAGCCACTGCGCCCAGCCGGAGCAACACACTTATAAACAGTTAGTTCTTGTGAGAACTCAATCACTATCACGAGGAAAGCATCAAGGGGATGGTGCTAAACCATTAAGGAGAAATCCTCCCCCGTGATCCAACCAAGTCCCACCTCCAATACTGGGAATTACAATTCGACATGAGATTTGGGTGAGGACACATGTCCAAACTATAGCAATAGGTTACAAGCAGGAGCTCAGAAGCCTAAAAGAAAGTGAAGATGTTTACTCTAATGTTTAGTTTAAGTCACTAATGTTTAGCTCTACTCTTCTACGAAAGCCACAGCCTTAGGGTGGAAATGGCCTACCACCTTTGCTAGCCGCAGGATTTTGTACCCACCAATTGTTTTTCCTAACTTCTGCCTACTTTAGTCCCTGTACTAAAGTTTCCTCAACTGATCCAGAATGAATGTGCCATCTCTTTCTTACTAGTAACCTGATTGATGTGTAGAATGGGGTAAGATTTTGGAGTTTAATTCCAAAGGACACAATATATGTAAAATGACTCACAATGTACACAGTAAATACTTTGTATATGCTCATACTCCTTATGATTTTCCCATCTAGAAAAATTCCCATCATCAATGCATCTGAATATTGCATTGTGGTATCAGAACCCTCTCTTTTGCTCCCCTAGGCAGTGGTCAACATGTGGATTTACAGCTTTCAGCAAAAAGTGAATATGGATCAAATGGAATGCTTGGCACTGCCTCATCCTTTCCCCATGAAAATGCAGAATGGCATTGTTTGGGTGAGGGAGAAGGGACAAGATGGAGGAAGGTAAACAAGAAGGCACCGCCCCTGTTGCTTCCGGGTTCTTCATCACCAACTAACCCGCACGTGGGAAAATGCAGCCCGCGCGCGGGAAAATGCAGATCAACTGAGCAGGCGCCGCGGGACGTCAATCCGAAGAGATCCAGACTTACCCAGCCACGCCTATGGAGATGCCCCTATCACGCCCTTACCCCGCCCACTGCCCTCCCCCTTCCAGTACCAATGCATAAAAGTCCACTGCCGGCAGGAGCCAGCGTGACTTCCTCGGCCCCCGCATTTGTGGACCGGAGAACATCACCCGAGAGCGCCTGCGCGACTTCCCTGGCCCCCCACACCCGAGGACCAGAGAACCTCGCCCGAGAGTGTGTGCATATTTGCAATAAAAGACTGCCACTTTCTTATGTACTTTGGCCTCATGTTTAATTACTTAGCTCTCCTAAATTAAGTTACATTAAATTAAATTAAGACAATTATTAAATTAAATTAAATTAAATTAAGACAGTTGGTTAAGACAGGTGGTGCCGAACCCGGGAGGAGACCCCTCCTTAGGGCCCCCCCAAGGTCCGAGGAGCCTCCTCCTTCCACGCCGCGGATGGACCAGGACTTAGACATCACTTTCCACACCTCCATGTCTCCTAAGGGTGAGTACCTCTTGCCTCCCTCTCATACTCCTTGGCCAGAAGTCCTGCACAGGCCCAAGGTTTTTGGTCACCAGGTGACCCACAGGAGAGTTCCCAAAGGTAGAGACGTCTGCCCAAAGGAACTCCATTCCAGTCCGTGTGAGACCCGTCCAGGACGGAGACTTCCGCCTGCAGGTAATCTCCATTCCGGCTCCAGGAGCCTCCCGGTCTCTAGTGGCTCCAAAGGACGCTTTGTAGCCAGGTAGAGTTCGGTTTCCGCGTATAGGTGAGAGAAAGGCAATAGGAAATCCCCAATCCAAAATACCTAGAGACACCCCTTTAGGGTGTCTTCTAACTAATCTCAAAACTTTACAATTAGAGCAAGATCTTAAACGAAAGTGACTGATTTTCCTCTCCACTGTGGCATGGCCCCAATATAAATTAAACAATCAATCTCAGTGGCCACCTGAAGGCACTTTAGACCGCAATATTCTACTCGATCTTGGCAGTTTCTGCCGGCACCTAGGCAAGTAGTCCAAAATTAACTACATACAAAAGAAGATTTTTTTTTCCTTTTAAGACTTGCATTCTCGCCCAGACCAGTGTGCCCAGTGTCCGATGGCCCAGGTCTTGTTAGCCAAAACCCGGCCCTCGGCCTCCACCTCAACATCAGAGGAGGACTCCACCTCCATTTTAGATGGGGCTGACGGTGGGGCACCTCCCTTCCGACCTTCCAACCCCCCTCCCTATGGACCTCCCACCGCCCCGCTGGACACTCCTCCCTCAGCCACTTCTCTTACCTCTCCCATTTCCGTCCACACTCGCTCCAAGACCGCGGTAGCAGCCCCCATTAGTCAGCCCTCTACCAGTCAGCCTGCCCCAACCCCCTCTACCAGTCAGCCTGTCTTAACCTACCCTACTGGTCAGTCTGTTCCAACCTCCTCTGCTAGTTTGTTGGCCACCCCCCGTCCGAGAAGTTGCCGGAGCCAAAGGCGTGGTTAGAGTCCACGTCCCCTTTTCCCTGGCTGACCTTTCCAAAATTGAAGAACGACTCGGCGACTTCTCAGCCAACCCCACCTAATATTCCAAAGAGTTTCGATACCTAGGCCAGGCATATGACCTTACCTGGCATGACTTACATGTCATTCTTACTTCCACTCTTAACCCAGAGGAAAGGGAGTGCATTCTTGCAGCCGCCAGGCAACATGCAGATCAATGGCATTTAACCGACCCCACTGTCCCGTTAGAAGAGATAGCTGTCCCGTCCATAGAACCAGATTGAGATTACCAACCGCAGCAGCCTGGCCGCCGTAGGAAGGACATTATGGTTCAATGTCTCTTAGCCGGTATGTAGGCAGCCTCTAACAAAGTGGTCAATTTTGATAAATTAAAGGAAATTATCCAACACCCAGATGAGAACCTGGCTTCCTTCCTAAATCGCCTTACAGAGGCACTGGCCCAATTTACCCGGCTAGACCCCACTTCCCCAGCCGGGGCAGCTGTCCTAGCCTCCTATTTTATTTCCCAGTCAGCCTCAGATATTCAAAAAACACCTAAAAAAGGTTGAAGATGGGCCTCAGACTCCCATACAGGACTTAGTAAAATTGGCCTTCAAAGTTTTAACTCCAGAGAGGAAGCAGCTGAGGCCGCAGAGCTAGACAAGGAGAAAACAAAGGCTGCGCTTCAGGTGCAAGCTTTAGTGGCTGCCCTCCAACCCGTGTTGCCCCCTTTGCCGGCAGGGAAAACCAAAGATAAGTCTCTTAAGGGCTCCTGCTATAAATGTGGAGACCCAGGACACTGGGCAAACCAGTATCCCCAGGCCAAGCCGGCCACTCCGTCTGGTCCATGCTTTAAGTGTGGCACAACTGGGCATTGGGCAAAAAGGTGTCCAAATCCTCGCCCACCTACCACGCCGTGCCCAACCTGCCAACAGGAAGGACATTGGAAGTCTGATTGC